ATAGCTCAGGGTGCAGAAGAGTATGAAGGGATGGACACTGGGAGGAGGTAACTATGGGGAGGAAGAGGGAGGGGAGCTGCTGCATTGTAAATTTTTGTCAATGACATGAGACAAACTATATGTGAACTGCTGTATGAAAAGTGAATTTACTCTGTAAATCTTCACCCAAATCCTAATAAAAAAAAAAAGAAGAAAAAAAAAAAAAGAATTCCATCAACAGCCTACACAGTACATTTTTAAAAAAAGTAAACACATTAAGGTAAGAAGACAATCCTTTAGAACCCAAACCATATTTTCTCACTGTATGTGTTGAATTCTTTGTCTAAAAGGGGCAGTTAGAGAGCTTTTCTTCTTTGGTATAACATGGTCATGAGCTGGCAATGCCTGATGGGATAGAGAGGGCACATGAGGATGGGGGAGGAGAAGCTTGTTCTTGCTGGTTAAGTTAGAGACAAACTTATCACACAATCCCTGGTCCTGCAGGCCTCTCCTTGTACCATTGGGCAGAATGCTTAAGAAGTCCTCCTTGTCCTGCAAATGATGTTCTGCAGCCTCAGTATTCAACGGATCAACAAAATTCAAAAGATCAGTAAATAACAAGTTTAATCTCCAAACAACCTTCAGTGTCCTCATAGAAGCCCAGCCAATGCTGTCAATTGACTGTTTTCACAGTGAACACAGACAGCTCTCCCCTGTCTCTGTGATGCTGGGGTGTCAGATTCTGGTCAAGCACTTCCTTTTGGGGAACACCATGTTGTACACATCAGGAACTTCAGTTTCAAACTGAAATTTTTCACCCTTGTAGTAACCCTCATCTGGGGTCACAGTTAGCTGAAAGAAATGAAAGTTGTCTGAATCGGGAAAATGCACTTCTAAGGCACAAGGTAAATTAGCTTCAGGTTCTACAACCTCTTTGATGAACTAGCTTGTCTCTCATATACACCCTTTGGTTGGAGTAGGAAGATATGTCTTAAGAACAGAACCCTTTGATATCATTATCCCAGTTCAATTTGCTTGCCAGAGTTAGCATCACTGCTGTCTTTACCCTGGGCACCCTTCGACAGGCAAGTGGCCTGGGAACCAACACCATGCTTGGCCCATACGGTGGTGGTGGCAGTGGCAGTGATCTGTCATTTGATTTCTTGAATACTGCTTCCTTGGGCATTGATTATAGATCCAAGTAAAATGAAACCCTTGACAGCTTCAACCTCTGTTTATCATGATGTCCAGATTCTTAGATTATTTGCTCAGCATACAGATTGAATAAGTATGGTGAAAGTGTACCACCCTGATGCATACGTTTCCTGATTTTAAAACATGGCTTAATGCATAAGGGAGATACTAAATGCAGTAAACCATGCAGTGTTCCCTTATTCTGTTCAAACAACAGCCTCTTCATCATTCAAATAGATAAATTGTAGAAACACTTATTACAATCATTACAATCTACTATGGATTAAACTGTGTTTCCAAAAAAGTTGTTTAAGTCCTGTATCTGTGAACACGACTTTGGAAATAGGCTCTTGAAGATGTTTATCAGTTAACATGAAGTCAGACTGGAGTAGGGTGGTTCCTCTTCTGTGGTCCTTATAAATGAGGAGAAGAGAAGCAAAAAGAGATACAGAAAGAAGATGGCCACATGAAGACGGAGGCTCATACTGGATCGATGCAGCTGCAAACCAAGGAACAGTAAGGCTTGTTGTTACCAGAAGCCAGGAGAGAGGCACAGAACAGATTCTCCCTTAGAGATTCAGAAGGAATCAACATACCCTAAGACTCCTAGCTTCCAGAATAGTAAGACAATAAATGTCCATTCTTCTAAGCTACCCACTTTGATGTACTTTTTTACAGCAGCCCTAGGAAATTAATGTAAAACCTATTGCCAAAATTCCTAGCCCTCAGGCCATAGTCCTCCAGAAAACATTGAAGAAACATCATTATAAAAAAAATAAAAATAAGAATACACTTTATCCTTTACTTTTCTCTCTCTCTCTCTTTCTGTTATCATGGCTTCAAATTAACCTAACCCCGCACCAAAGACTTAGGTCATGATTGCAATGGTCGACCAGGTTATATGTAGCTCACTCTCTTAGATGGTTGGGCAATCTGCTTCTGTAGCGATACAGCCTTGGAAACCCAAGGAGGGGTCGCTGTGAGTCAGTCAGACTTGACAGCATATAACGACAACTCTTAGATGATACCATTGGCTCCTCAGTTCTACCTGGGAACATCCAGGCATTTGAACACCATCTCTAGAGTGTCCCTGCTCTGTGCCTGATAAGTGGCTTTTCACTGAAGTGAGCAGAGGGTCAGTATAATGTGCATTTGAGGACAGATCATCTGTGGTCTTTTCAAGCTCCACTTAAAGACTCTGATGTAATTAGTTCTAATCTGTCCCAATTCCAAATCAAAAGGTAATATGATTAAGAACCTCTAAAAATAGAGTTGTTGTTATGTGCTGTGGAGTTGGCCCTGACTCACAGCGACCCCTCCTTGGGTTTCCAAGGCAGTATCACTACAGAAGTAGATTGCCCCATCTTCCTTCCTAGGAGTAGCTGGTGGGTTTGAACCACCAGCCTTCTGGTTAGCAGTCAAGTGCCTTAGGCACTACACTACCAGAGCTCCCAAAAATAGAGTTAGTGAGAGGCATTTTTAATAAGGCATCATGCACTTAGGCTAGTTTTAAATCTAAACCATGATTAAGTCTGTGAAGGTACCCACTGGAGGGCATGGAATTGGCAGCTTCCTTAGCACAAGAAGAGCTGTGGCTGCTGGACCATTTTTACCTTGTCCCCTTTCAACCTCCTTCAAAGTCTGTTTCTCACTCTGATTTCTTATATCACCTTTAAGCTTCTCCAGGATTGTGATTGTGATTTTTTGTGTCATATCTCCAGCTGCTAACATTGTGAAGACTTACAGAAAGAAGGTGCTCAGAGAATGTTGATTTAATTGATTCAGTTCACTCTGGCTTTTTCTCTGCCTGATCTAACCTTGAGTGTTTATTCTTTTCTAAATTCTACTCTTCCTGCTGTCCAGCCTGTTAGACAATAGTGTGGGTCCCAGTCTTAATCTCCCAGTGCTGCTGTCACAGAAATAACACAAGTAGGTGGCTTTAAAGAGCAGAAATTAATTTTCTCACTGTTCTGGAAGTTTGAAGTCCTAATTCAGGGTCACTGGCTCTAGGGGAAATCTCTGTCTCTCTCTCTCTTTTTCTCTCAGCTCTTGCAAAAAATCTTTGCCTTAGTTTCTGTAACCATGGCATTCCTTGGCTCCGTGGTGATTCCCACCATATGCCATTTATCTTTCCTCCATTTTGCTTACTTTCTTCTCCTCTCTGAATCCTATTTGCTTTTCTTAAATCTCAAAAGCCATTAGGGTTAAAACATAGGCTACAGAGATAGAGCCTCATTAACATAAAAATAGAACCCTATTCCCAAATGAGATAACATTCACAAGTATAAAACCAAAACCATTGCCAACAAATTGATTCCAACTCATAGTGACCCTATAAGACAGAGTAGAATTGCCCTAGAGGTGGGTTTGAATCACCAACCTTTTGGTTAGCAGCCAAATACTTAACCACTGAGCTACCAGGGCTCCTTATCCATAGGTATAGGGGGTAGTATTCCAACACGTATTTTGGGAGGGCACAATTCAATTCATAACAACTCCCACTTGCAAAGCCATTTCTTCCATTCCCCACCCTCTTGAGTGTCTCAATGTTCCTAAGCTTGCTTGAGGACCTTGGCCATGATCTCCTTATGATGGAGGAGTTTCTTTCACTCTATTCCTTACTGCTGAGACTCTTGGTTAAGACAACTGTTTTAGGAGGCTCTCAAGTGAAATAAGTTGTGGGTCAAACGTAGGACTATGGTAGGATTGCTCTGTTTTATAATCACCCCTCAGCCCAGAGTTGACAGAGGGTCCTCTATTTACCAAGATGCTGCCACTGTTTGATAATCATAGCTTGGCTTGTTGCAAAGCCACATCCCATTCAATAGCTTGGTTGCAGTTTTCAGTGGTTGCTGTCACTCACCCATTCAATAAATCTTTAATTTATGTCCACTATGTGCTAATTGGAGTCCTTGAATGATGAAAACAGTTAATGCATTTGCTGTTAACTGAAAGGGTGGAGGGTTGAGGGGACTTAACATAAAGAAAACAAAAGTCCTCACAACTAAACCAATAAGCAGCATCATGATATATGGAGAAAAGATTGAAATTGTCAAGAATTTCATTTTACCACAATCAATACCCACAGAAGCAGCAGTCAATAAATCAAATGATGTATTGCATTGGGAAAATATACTGCAAAAGATGTCTTTAAATTGTTAAATAGCAAAAATGTCACTTTGAAAACTAAGTTGCACCTGACCCGAGCCATAGCATTTTCAATAGCCCTGTATGAAGGTGAGAGCTAGACAATGAATAAGGAAGACCACAGAAGATCTGATGAATTAGAATTATGGTGTTGGTGAAGATTATTAAAAATACCATGGACTGCTAGAAGAATGAACAAATCTGTCTTGGAGGAAGAGCAACCAGAATGCTCCTTAGAAGTGAGAATGGTCAGACTTCATCCCTTGTATTTTGGTCATGTTGTCAGAAGGGACCAGCTTCAGGAGAAGCATAGTATGCTTGATAAAGTAGAGGGTCAGCAAAAAAGGAGAAGACCCTCAAAAAGATGGATTGACACAGTGGCTATGATGATGAATTCAAGCAAGGCAACCATTGTGAGGATGGTACAGGAAGAGGCAGTGTTTCAGTCTGTTGTATGTAGGATCGCTGTGAGTTGGAACCAATTTTTCGACACCTAACAACAGAGGCGGCTCTGAAGAAAGTCCTAGAGAACTATGTCTGGAAAATCAAATATTAAGAACCCTATGGAGCCCAGTTCTACTTTGACACACAGGGGATGCCGCAAATCTGAACTAACTAAATTGCAACTGATTTAAATGTGCTGATCAAGGAATCTGGAATGTAATAGTGAACAAGGTAAAGCCCTTGTTCCTCATGGAGCTCGCATTTTGGTGAAAGACCCAAGCAGGATATAATAACTGTGTATTATAGATAAAATGTGAATTTTAGGAAATAATATTTGTGATCAATTAAAGGAAGGTAATAAGATAAAACATGATGGGGTGGTGGTTATTTTGGAGTGGTCTGGGAATGTCTTTCTGATGAGATGATATCTGAGAAGCAATGAAATAATGTGAAGGAGCAAATGTTGCATACATCCTAGGATAAAAGTGATCTGGACAGAAGAGACAACAAGTACAAAGGCCCTGAGGTTGGAATAAGGGTGGCTTCAAAGTGCTTCACCAAGGAAAATGGCTTGATGATTTGGATATGGTGTCCTTTTTCTTCCTTCTTGCAAGGTGTGACTTAAGGTTGTTGGTAAAACTCATAGATGTCCCCCAAAATACCTCTCTCCCTCCTTACTACTGATGCTTCCACAGCCTTCTCAGGATTTAGCTTTCCCTTTCATCTTTTCCACTATTCTAGCCACAGGTTGAAGCTTATCCTAGGGAAACAAGACACAAAAGAACATAGCAAGAACAAATGGCAGAACTCTTGGCTTTGGCATCCAAAATAGTTTTAGAAGCCAGAGTTTTTGAATGCAAGAGCCAGGAACTTGACACAGTTTTTTTTTTTTTTTTTTTTTAAGTTCTCCAAAGGTTGGCACAAAGCCTGGGTATAAGGCTTGTAAATTCTAGATTTGGGAAGAAGATGTGATGACTTAACTGCAGCTTTCCCACCAAACAGAAGATAAACTAGAAGATCCTCACCCTGGTGGGGGTGGAGGGAAGGTGAAGGAAACTTATGAGGTGAGACGATGGTGGGAGCTCACACTCAGGTTTTTGAAGATGAAAACCTGGTGATGACAGGAGATACAAATGCTTAGGTAAGTTTGGGGTCACAATGCAGAGGGGATCTGTCCCTCATTTGCTCAAGTACTGCCCAGGGAGCTTGCAAACCTGTTAGAGGCACTGGAATTTGGAGGGCCAAATTGGTGGTGGGCTCTGGAAATGGATCATGAGGTAGAATGAGGATTGTGGCAATGAGAACCTGGATGCTGTGGACTAAGCAGTAGACACACCAAAATGGGGGCCATCATCTGAGGCCCTGCTGTCAAGTTAGGTCTCAGTGGAGTTCAAAAAGATAAGCCCTCAGACTCAAATCCCACTTCTCCGCTCTGTCCAGATGACCCAAGGCTATACTAGCTTTCTCCATACCCACATGCCATCTTCAAGGGAAGAGGCTGTGAAGCCAGAGCCCTGAAATTCCAACCTGTGTGAGGAGCTGCCCAAAAGACCTAAGGCTGCCATAAAAGAATACCAGAAGATATGTGGCTTTAAATAACAGAAATTATTATTTTTTATCATTCTGGAGGCTTGACATCTGAATTCAGGGTGTAATCAGAGCTCTTCTCTCTCTATGTCTGCTCTAGGGGAAGAACCTTCTTTGTCTCTTTAGCTTCTATAGCCCTGGGCATTTCTTAGTGTTCCTTGACTTGTAGACAGATCCTGATGTGCTGTCTTCCTTTGTGTGTGACTTTCTTTACATGTGTGTCCTTGTCTTTTATAAGCGACCACTCAGAAGGTATCAGGGTTATGACTTACTATACTCTGTTTACTTCCCTAACTCAACTGATAATATCTGCAAAGAAAAACCCTATTTCCCAAAATAATACCACATTCACAGGTACAGGTGTTAGGACTTAAACTCATAACAGCCGAGGTCAACCCTAAGCAACTAAGTTACCTTCAATTGGCAAGAGTTTCTCTGCTACTTCCCAGAAATGGGGACTTGTAAGCTAAGTGGAGTTCAGGTCTGCAGAAATAATGTTGCACCACTGAATGCTTTTAGTTTTGTGACTGTGACATTTGTATCTGCTTTACTTAAAGATTCTTACAACAGGGAGAAAAGCCTTCCATTTCACAATAAGAGTCCATACAGGACAAGTGAGAGAAGCTCACCAGAATAGAAATGTTGGAGCCTCAGTGCAGGCTTTAATAGAGAGAAGGTGAACTACTGTAAAGGAGAAGGGGCATGAAGGGAGGGATGAGGGTGTAGGAAATGAGAGGTGTAATTTTGTTTAACTCAGTCCAGCTTACCCTGAGACAACGGTCCTCTGTGAGCTTTCCGGTTCCAGTTACCATCGAGTTGACTTCTACTCATCTCAACCTCGTGTGTGTCAGAGAGTTTTCAGTGGCTGATTTTTTAAAAGTAAATTGCCAAGACTTTCTTCCAAGATACTTCTGGGTGGATTCAAACCTCCAACCTTTCAGTTAACAGTTGACTGTGTTAACCAGTGGCATCACCCAGGTTTTAACTCAGTGAACTAGCATGCTAAAATTCATGTTCTATCTGCTTCCTGGTTCTGGATAAGTCAGGTTGCAAAACTTGTAATTTTCTCAGAAAATCAATCTATTCACATTTCTAAGGCAAAGAACTTGAAATCTAGAAATCTGTTTGTAAACTCTTCAGGAAAGGTCCATCTTTTCCCTGAATGTATTAACATACAATCCTTTGGCTTCCAGGTCCCTCCTATTGTCATAGAAGGCATAACTTCAAAAACCTTGACCTGTCTTTGACTCACCTGGTAAGATATGCCTGTGTATACAACATACCCACTCACATGCATTCTAAACTCCCATGTATGAAATACCCTGAGATTTTTTATTTCTGGGAGTTGAAAAGAATCATTCAAGTATAAATCATGTACAAAGGAATATAATGTGAAGTAAGTGCCAGCTCTGTGTGTCAAAAGGTTTTGCCCCACACAGGGGAAGGAAAACCATGTCAGTACAATTCAAAAGAATGCTAACTATAATTCCATCCACCTTCCCCCAGCCCCAGCAAGAAAGCAAGCAAGCCAACAAACAAAACAAACCCCACATGAAGCTCTCACCTACTGCGTTTTTTTCCAAAAAAACTACAAAATCGAATATAGCATATGGGGGCAACTTTATAAAAAGATTTCCTGTAAAATAATGTGTGTTTAAAGTTGGCTGACAAATTCTAGAAATTTTCCCCTGAAGTTAAATACAAGAAATTTCACTGATCTCTGGAATCTAAGTAAATCATGTTAAATTACCTCAGAAAAGTGATTGACAGAGAAAACAAGAACAATGGCTGGCATGGGGCAAGGAATTTTCCTCCTTTCTAATTCATAAAGTAGTTTCATGTGCTGGATCTGTAGAACCATGCTGCACGGATTTAAGGTGGAGCAGTTATACCAAAGTAAGTTACAGGAACATAAACACACACATACACACAACTATACTGAAGGCCACCTTAGTTGTTAAAATATGTTTATAGACTAATCAAAATTTGGCCTCATACTTGTGAAGGATTCATACTAACTGAAAAAACAAATATCATTAAGCATTACTTAGAAATGTATCCCAAAATGTTACAAAAAAAAAAACTTTAATAAATACCTTAGCTTCATGTAAAGAAAGGAGCTCTGATGCAGTGGTGAAGGCATTCAAACCAAAAGGCTGGTGGTTCGAACCCATCAGACACCCTGTGGAAAAAAGATGGGGGCAGTCTGCTTCCATAAAGATTTACAGCCTTGAAAATCTAATGAG